GTATTCCGAAACACAAGCTACGAAACCGGAAGTGCATTAAAACAAGGAAAAAAAAACCATATAGCATCTGCCATCCTCCATATAAACTCTCTAAAACCTAGAAAGGCCACATCACAATCTGAATAATGTACATAATGTACATAAGCTTCAAGAGCATTTGTTCAAAATAAAATTACAACTTTCAGAAAAGGGGTATATTTGCAAATTGTTCTCTGTCAAATGAGTACATTTGCAAATTTGGAAAGTATAATAAGTTCCTTTGTGTTTTAGACCAAGCATATGACTTCACATGAAAATAAAAGGCACTCATCTCAGTATGAGTTCCCTTAAGAAACCGCAAGAGACAACACATCACAGTATATACAAATATACAATCACAATCTCAACTTCATCCCATAGATTTTTAAACAAATATACTCACTGCAAGAGACATGGCAATTTCACAAAATTCACAGTATATACAAATATAAAATCACAATCACAGTCCTTCTCTCCCCCAGCCAAACTCAAATTCTTTAGCCACAATCACACATGTCTCAAATTCCACAAAACCTTCAACCGAACAAAGCTCACAACAACACAACGGAGGCAATTTAGATGTACAAAACAAGCATTCTCTACATCAACACCTAATTTATCAAATGAAACCCTAAGCCCTAATTCAAAAGCTATTGAAGAATTGAGAAAATCGAAGCCCTAATAGAAGAAATTTACCTAATAGTTGGAAAGGAGGTCCGACGGCGGTCCGGTGTCGAAGATTTTCGGTCGAAATTTTCCGGCGATTCTTCTCTCTCTCTCTCTCGCTCTCCGTTCTCTCGCTCTCTGTTTCTCTGTGGGTTGCTGAGTTTCTGTTCGCGTAAAGGGGGAAGAAGAAAATTTTCGGATTTATATTTAAAAGTAAAACGTATTCGCCGAATACGTTTCTTACCTAAATAAGAAAAAAAATGGTAGAGGCTCCCAGATTGGGGACTCGAACCCGGGTCAATGGGTGAGTGCCGTTTCTCTGGGCGCACCTCGTACCATTGTGCCGGCAGACACTTTCCGATAATTTTTGTACAAAATATATACATGTTCATACTGTTATATATAATATGATATAAAATATATCATATAATATAATACATAATATAACTATATATATATATAAATATTATACTTTATAATATAATATATAATATAACTATATATTAATATTAATATACTATAGTATATTATAATATAATATATAATATAACTATATATTAATATACTATACCATATATTAATATACTATACTATATATTATAACTATATATCAATTGTACTGAAATTGACTTCAATTGTACTGAAATTGACTTCAATTGTACTAATTTGACTTCAATTGTACGAAATTGACTTCAATTGTACTAAGTTGACTTCAATTGTACGAAGTTGACTTCAATTGTACGAAGTTGACTTCAATTGTACGAAGTTGGCTTCAATTGTACTAATTTGACTTCAATTGTACGAAGTTGACTTCAATTGTACGAAATTGACTTCAATTGTACTAATTTGACTTCAATTGTACGAAATTGACTTCAATTGTACGAAGTTGACTTCAATTGTACGAAGTTGACTTCAATTGTACGAAGTTGACTTCAATTGTACGAAGTTGACTTCAATTGTACGAAGTTATTTTTATCATTCAAAATCAATTGAGATTTAAATTGTATTTTAACCATGCAACGTTTATATTAGTAACATGAATAAAATAATTTATATATTTGTAGCATATATTAAGAAAATTAACATAAAAAAAAATTATTGGTGTTTCTGATTTTTAGAAAAAAAAAAAATATATGTGCCAATCATGCACAGATGTACATATAATATTATAAGTAATATTTGAGAATTTAATATTAAAATTTTAGATAATGAACATATTACATTTTCAAAAATTTGATCATTAGAAAAAAAAAATAACAATTTTATTATAATGAAAAATTGTATATTACCATTAGATACTAACTGTTTAATTCTTATTCTTCTTCTTCTTATTATTATTATTATTATTATTATTATTATTATTATTATTATTATTATTATTATTATTATTATTATTATTATTATTATTATTATTATTATTATTATTACTATTATTAAAACAATTGTTTATAAGATTTTAGAGTTGTCTGACTATGCTATTAAATAATTTACTAATTGTTTATAAGATTTTAGAGTTGTCTTCGCCAAGTAGGATTTCGAAGCACCAGAAACAACCACGTAAACTCAGCGCATTCGAGAATTATATATAAGGGAGAGAATTAGATATGTTAGGAAAAAAAAAAAAAAAAAAA